TAAGGAAATCCCTATCGTTAATATATGTCCAAACATTGTTCTCCTCTTTTAAAAAAAAAGTAGTCATTTACAAAACCTGGTTATTCATTTCAGCACGCATTTAGCGCTTTTTGTTATTATCTAGCTTACAAATCGTTGTGAAACAAAAACGAAATGAGTTAGGAGGCCAGGTTTTCACAAATAGTCTTGAAATACGCTGCTAGATTTTAAATCTATATTAGTTGGTCCTTATGAGTGACAGTATGTGTAAATGTTAGTTTGTTACACATGTTTGACTTGGACATTTCTAATTCCTATATATGAAGAAAAAAATCAAGAAAACATAAGCATTGCGAATTTGACTCTTTTTTTCAAAATTAACTTGATATATATTAATATAAGACATGTAAATTCCTTGCTTTAGTTTCCCTCAAAACTATTTTTTTGTTCAAATATGCGAAAAAAATTTTGTGAGTTTAGGTTACTATGAATTCAACAATGCACTAAAATCACCAGAGTGTATTATCATTGAAATCAATGATGCGCTGAGACATAGACAAATGGTCTTTATGACTTCTTTTTGACAGCATCCCCCATTCTAAATTAGGGATCCCTTTTTTGTTCTTTTTTTTTTTGCGGGGAGGTGTTGTAAACAAGTTGTGTCGTGGGGTCCGGATTGGATTTTAAAATGTTAATTCGCTTTGAGTCAGAGTATTACGCTCCTTTCTACGATGACACTTTACAACATCAACTTTTATGGTCAAAATGTGTTTTGTTGAAAGGCCAAATTTAAGACACTGTCAATATATTTAACCGAGCGTTTATATCTCAGTTGTTCTGCTACGCACAACCTACCTATCGGATAAAAGTGAAACTTAATCAAACAATGTATGGTTTATTTATTTGGAGCAGGATCTGCTTACCTTGCCGGAACACCTGAGATCACCCAATGTTTTTGGTGGGGTTCGTGTTGCTTAGTCTTTAATTTTCTATGTTGTGTCTTGTGTACTATTATATGTCAGTTTTTCTTTTTTAGCCAGGGCGTTTTCAGTTTATTTTCGATCGATGAGTTTGAATGTCCCTTTGGTATTTTTCGCCCCTCCTTTACTGATCATCAAATGGTGGTGTTTTTTTATCATAATCCTCACGTAGTGTTGTCCTCCTCTATCTTAATCGTGTATACAGAATGTAACAAAAATGCACACTCAAGCACACTCAACCTGCAACGTTACTTTCCTTAAGTTGTTATACTTTGATTTATCTTTCAGGTGGATGTATATAGTTGAAAGAGGTTCAGGGATATTGAAGTCTAGATTTGATTTAGATGAACAACAGAAGATCGTTAACCTCACATCATCTCGTGTCGAATGCTTGGATATAGGTACGTTGTCACCAGTTATCTTTGTTTGAATATTCCTTTCAATTTCACAATTTGTCGTTGATCATTATTATAAGATACAATATAAGTATTTATCTATTACCAGTCGAACTGTATATGTATCTGTACAATTATGTTGATGAAAATATGTACCAACAATCGAAATATAAGACATTGTGTATGTGAAAACAGAATACAAAATACAAAATTAGCTGTTCTTATGGAGAAAAACCCTGCCGCATTTTAAAATAGTGTTCGCTAACATTACCATAGGAAAGCATAGTATGCTTTGGGGGTTTTCGATGAAGAAATAACATATTAACTACTTTATTGGTTTATACTGGTGCTTTAATTTCATTTCAAACAAAAAAATGTAGATTTTTTTATTTGAACAGATGTGTTCCATAACCAATATACTATCTTTCAAAAACGTATAAGTCGCACTAACATATAACAGAGCATGATCACGTGACCTGACGTGCAATATGTTAATGATTCACACCAGAGACTTAACCTCGTAATGTTTTCCTCTTTTAATGGCTGAAAACCTATTCCGCTCTATAAAGGCTGCTATATAAGCTTTCAAAATACATGTAAAGCATGTTGTCACAAGATTATAAAACAGTTCAAGCATTTAGCTTACTTATCATTGATTTAAACGATAAGTAAATCAAGTAATACAAATCATACCCTTGCACATGACAAACAAACATATTGACTTGTATGTGGAGAAATTTATATCTGAAAATTGGTGGTCCGTTCTTTTGATTTCAAAAAGTAACCATGTATTATCTGTGTAAAACCATATACTTTTTTTACCATATGTATAGGTTGAAAATGTGCAACTTTAGACAAATCTGACATTTTTGTCTGTAAAGTGGTTTCATAGAAAGAAGTTTCTTTATATGATATCGTTCCATTTTCTTTCAATTCATTCCTAAACATAGGGATTGATACTACAACTAAAGAGTGTCTGTTCCTATATCAAGCATTTGTGAATGAAGTATCTAATATACAAGTATTACTGATTTTCCTTTCATTAATCAGAACTGCGAAAACTGTGGTTAAAATACAAATGGCTATAGAGAGAAAGATAAACTGCAATTGATGTTAGAGTAACTGATTTAAATTGTTGTATGATATTACTGTTTTAGTTTTCATTTTAAAGAGTTTATATCATGATTTACTTTTATAAATTGTAACTTGGATGGAGAGTTGTCTCATTGGCACTCATACCACATCTTCCTATATCTATATATGTCAACACATGGCAATTCTAAACTCGTCCTATACTAATTGATTTTGAGACAAATTCCCACTTCTTCTTTGGGTTTTTCCCCCAAATTGTTATAGTGTTAAACGTTTTTATATTACTGCGAAATTCTTTGAATACATGCCTAAATCAATTTCATCGGGTCTCTGTACCTATCTTTGTTCTTGTATCGAATTCCATATTTTAAATTGTCGGCATTTATTCTAAAATAACGAGCATTCGTTAGTCACAGAAAACCATATCATATCGGTAAACTATCAGACATAACACATGTAGTATCGTATAATAATGAACTTGAAGATATAGCTAGGTGTTCACACACATAATTTTGTTAACTCCTGGTAGAGCACCTTTGTAATGCTGATTAAATGTTTATATTTGCATACGTATTAGTTGAAGGAAATATATTTATAACATTTGTAAACATGTTCGTGATCTGTTTCCTTCGCGGTTCATCTTTGTGCATCAACCATTATTTGTACACCAGATTTATAAAATAACTGCAATACACTCCTACAAAACATGTATGTTATTGTTATAAGAGTAATAAGAATGCATTATGATTGCTTCACTATTTGTTTCCAAAATTTGTAGACACTGACGAAAATAGACTGTATTGGATCAATATCAATGGTGAAATGAAATCAGCTAAAGACAATGGCTCTGATGTTAAAATAGTTCTTTCAACAAATATTAGAAGAGATTACTATGGTATCGGTGTCATCGGTAGTTACATATATTATGCCCAAGGCGTTCAGTTGATAATGGTAACTAAAACATCAGGATCCTCGCCGACTGTTCTGTATAACGATACCAGCGTTATTGTCAGCATAATTATGTTTAATCAATCAGGTATGTTAATAACCATTTATGATCACGTATACCGATAACTTCGCCATACATTGACTTAAATCAACACTGAGTTTATAATATCTTATTCGTTATTTTTGCACACATGCATAGACCTGTTAGAATTGTATTTATTGTTGAACTATTTCATGAATTACTCGAAATTTAAACATGAATACTAGCAATTTGCATGAGAGTAATGCGACAGTCACGGACATCGTATACATACACACAACTGCCTAATATTAATCATAATAAAAACTGAAAATGGTCATTTGTGTGTGAACGTAAAATTGATGTTGATTTTAAAGTGCACATTCTGATTAAAAAAATAATAATTAATACAACACAAATGATTCATTGTTTTGATGATTTTTTAAAATAAATAGGAATAAACGTCTATGAGAGCAGCCAACTAGCAAGCAAGACATATCAAGTCATTTAAAAGAACAAACCCGTTGCACTCAGTTAAGAAACTAAACAACCAACACTTAGAATTATAATTAAACTTTTTTTTAGTTAATCTTACAAATATGTTATAACATTGTCGTTGGTCTTCATAAATTTAAATATAGCGTATGATGTATTATTGTCCTTCATGTGTATTTATTGTTTATATGAAATTGCGTCTTACGTCCGAACTTTCATATTCAGCTTTTAGTTAGTATATAGTACATATATTGTTATTCTGATTAACGAAATGTACATTTGTAGTTTCTTCCTAACGCTGGCGTCAATGTAATATATGCAATTGGCTTCTGCAATGTTTTCATTGTATAAGTTAGAATTATATATGCATTCTCAAAATTTTGTATTGTCTTCACTGAAATGTATTAATATTGGTTTTTCTTGTTATTGCATACACTTAGTTTAATTTCTTCAATCTCGTTTAATATTAAAGAATGTCCTGCAATAGAGTGATAATTATTATTACTAAAGTTAAAGTACTAAATTGACAACAATTACAAAAAATAAGTACTTTTAATATTTAAAACAGAAATTGCTATCAATGAAATTGTACGACAGAAACAATTGGTAATTAATTTGACCGTATTTTTTTAAAAATTTTAATCAAATTTATATACTACTTTGTCCTGGAAATATAAACATGTGCTATCATTGTCCACTGAAAAAACTCTTCACTGTTGTTTTTTTTTTTATTGATTAGAATTTCGTTTTATGTTATGTTATGTCATATTAATGAGCGACATATAGTATTTTGCCGCGTAATGTAAAATGTCGCATCATTATCAACTGAAACCACTCTTTATTGTTTTCTAGTTGAATATCAGTGTCATGATTATTAAATAAAACCAATGTAATGCATAAAATCTTGTTGATTGGACCATGTTTAATTTGTTCTTTATACATATGAAATTTGTTGTAGGTCGTAAAACATTTTTTTTTTACAATACACACTCTGATATCTTCATCGTCAATTTTCATTTTATATTTTTATTTTATATTTTCATTGTATATTTTTATTTTTTATTTTTATTTTCATTTTATATTTTTGTTTTATATTTTCATTTTATATTTTTATTTTATATTTTCATTTTATATTTTTATTTTATATTTTAATCTCATCTGAGTTTGATGCAGCACCGTCAGTACTGGATTGACGTGAAGATAAGTTACATAGCTACTAGTATAAGCAACACGATATAGACATAGATCACAGAGGTAGTAACTAAAACACGGGTGCATTTGTATGGTTGTAAGGTCTTCAGATATGCTATTTTTTTCTTTTTTTGGTTTAGCAACATGTTCACAAATACTGTTTTTTTTATTTCTTTTATAACAGTTAATTGCTTTTTGTCGGTCCATGATATTGATATTTTTCAAGAAGGAAGAGAGATTTAAGAAAACACAAAGTTCTATGGGATTTATGAATATCTGATATCATGGCGCATGTTTCTGAGCGAAATATTGAAACACTTATAAAGAAAGACTAGTCAACACATAACACCTTAAACAATTTTTTCAATAACTAAAAAAAAAATCCAGACATTAAAGTCATATCATCCAGAAATGTAAAACCGATTTGTTTTGAATGTTTCCTAATTTGATACAGTAATTTTTATCTAAAACGTGTTGGCTTCCTCATGTTGTAAATCATTTAAGGTTTTCAAACTGACATTTTCAAAAACTATTATACTGTTACTTACATTCTTTGCGCTTAGTATTTACATCAAATAGGATATTTAGAGTTTTGAAAAATAATCAAACAATCTGTTTATTTTTGTATTTTTTTGTCTCAAACATGACCTAATTAATTATCTTCAACCTTTTGGAGAACACTACACACGATTCAGCATTTTTATCACTTTTCCCGTTGCTGTATGAATTCAGCTTTTCATTACAGCCACTAACACATGTGTCAATGTTATTTGCTGTGATGCCTTTTAATGCTTCTTTGTTATATATGTGTTTGTTTTTATGATTAAGATTATATCACAATTTTGACTGTTGTGGCCCTATTTTTGACATTTTACCTATTATGTCTCTTTGTCTTGTTCACAATCGTTGTCAACACAATGACAGTTAATACGACTACCATACACTTGAGAGGATTAGAGAGCTATAAAACAAGGTTTAATCCACTGTTTTCTACATAAGAACATGCAGGTACCAAGTCAGTAATATGACCGTTGTAATCCATGCGTTTGGTGGGTTTGAGCTTTAGACATTGCCATTTGATGAGGGACTTTCCGTTTTGATTTTCCTCGGAGTTCAGTTTTTTAGTGATTTTACTTTTTTTAACATTAAAATGTAAGACGGTAGGGTTTTATAGAAAGAGTATTACAATTTTCAGTTTTGCCTGTTAATTACCATATACATGCACAAGTAGAAAGTTTTTGTATGATTACACCAATATAACTTAGAAATTCACAAAAATTTAGTAACCGTACGACATTGAACAATCAGCAAAACCAATATCACAAAGTCACCTATATAACGCTGCTAACTACCGACTGTAAGAAAACTAACTGTGTGATTTAAATACACAATGATAAACGGAAAACAAATAAGATACATTGCAATCTGTCAAATCCGAAACACCGAGTGACATGCGAATTGTAGATTGTGTCGGAATACTCAGGTCTCAGAATCTGTGAGGTATAATTTCTTTGTGAAATATAAAACCTTTTCCTGCAAAATTGGACCTGCACTATAAAGAGGATTTGTGTTTGCTCTAGCTGTGTAAACCATGTGAAGAACACATTGTTTAATTTGCAATACGACATCGTAACTCGTAAATCTGTTTTTATCATAATGGTACCACTCGTTTGATTATTTCGATGTATGTTCAATTATATATTTTTGAATCATTTAACAACGTGTCGACAGTTAATGGTGCTAATTACAGCTAGAAATCGTTAATAAGTCTTAGAATATGTTATATTAAAGAGTATACTCAGTTTAAATGAAGTATTTTCAATTTGATAGAGTGCAGTTACATATTTTAGGGACCTTATACATTGTACATGTTATACAAAACGACAAATACATTCATTTTTTTTCAATCATAAGATCAATATGAAGTATGGTCATCAACTGGACCAATACATCTATGAACAGACTAATGTATTGGTGTTGTACATTACCAATTTAAAGTTTGCTACTCTACACTAATCATTTATTTGAATGAAGGTTCATTAGTTGCCTCTTCATGTAAGGATACAAATATGTAGAAACATGTTGTAATAAATATGTCTGTAATCATATAAAAAATTACCCAATAATTATATTTTGCAGTACACAGACATGCACGTGTGCTGTCTATAATAAATATAAGTTGTTTTCATTTATCGGTTGAAACAGAGTGGTCCAATATTATTGAATTGTCAATCAAAACTGAAAATTTAGATCAAAATGATAACATAATGTATTGCGTTGATTGTTTGATAAAATAAACTACGATGTTTACACAAGTATTTATATTTGCCTGTGATAGTTTAAGTGCATACATTTGTGAAGTTGGTTAATTATTCTAAAAGTTTATTATTTTCAAAACATTATGAATTCGATATAAGTACCTCTTCACATTTTAAATAAAAACTACAAGAATATTAATTTCATTTACATGTATGTTAATTTAATTATATTAGTCATGTTCAGTTCAATGACTTTACTAGTTTTGCATGCTACATTGTAATGCTTGTCCCTATATTTTAGGACGAATGACTACACCGTATTCATTATTGATAATGCTTGCCGCCATCAATATTTCGTTACACTGTCAGACGTGGTAAGTTGATATACTTATATTAAGTGTAATCAATGTAATCAGCTCAGAATGAATTATTTTTTACTAGAATACAGCATACTATTATCAACGCTTGTATACAATTGAATCAATCATGTGTTATTAAAAAATATATATATATCAACTGCAAGAAGATATAATCGAGTTATCTTTCATTTCTTGGTAATATCTAGTTATGAAGCTCGTTTGACTGCATCTTCCATTCCTCCCAAACAAGTGTTAAATTATACAAACTTCCAAAAACACACACAGCTAATTATTTGTGAAAAACATTTATTAATTATTGGAATCGAAATAAAAGAATATATATATATCCGCGTATGCATGCAACTCATTTGGGAACATCGTAATAATTATTTGTATGTATATCCGACTTTTGCAAAACGGCACATGATGCAAACATGAATATAACTAACGATATTTAGTCTTACTGTAATTCGAATAGATATTTATATGTACAGGGAATTCTTTAACGGATACATTTGTACTAGGCCTTAAAACATTTGATACAGTATCATTGATCATAGCGATAATATTTGATGTTCAATTTACTATATGTCTTAGAAAAGTGACGTTAGTATTTAAAAACAAATATGTGTAAAATATGATAACTCTTAATTAATACTTAATCAATGTTTCTGGTTTTATATGTTAGGTCAAACTGAATTGCTAAAACGCTACAGATAGTGAATAGAGTATACGTTGTCAACGGAAACAAACTCTCAAAAGTTGAGATTGACTTATTTGATTTGAAAAAAGACAAATATAGGTGGGCATACCACTTGAACAAATTTTACCGAAAAAGCTAAAAAAGGATGAGAGTCATCTGTTTAATTTCAATCAGATATTATAAGAATAACCAATCAACTAGATAATTCGTTGACAAGCTTGAAATGGAGTAACTCGGGTGTTTTCAAGAGGACATTAACTCCTAAAGAGAACGAAATACGGCACTAGGATTGTTTGTGATGAAAAAAAGAAACTAGTTTAGAATTTCTCTTTATACTTAAAAAATCAGACAAGTTTATGTTTAGTCTTCCAAGTGCTCAACAATTTTTCAGATACATTTTTCCAACATTTATAGTCATTTAATCTGTACGTACTGAGTCATGATTTTTAAACAATGGTCTTTTTCGGTTTTCTTTAACAAGCAATACTGTTGAAATTCATATACACACTAAAATATAAGCTTTGTTTTTAATCGGTACATGTCGACTTATATTGATAAATATCAAACGAATTATAGCTGCATTCATTAAGAAGTACTCCTTAATCTCTTTAGCAGTGGACATTTTGAGATTGTTAAAAGAATGTTTGCAGCAAGTCAGTCGATGTTAAATGTATCGTCAAATATGAATGCATATAGAGATCACAGGTAAATAGACATAAATAAATAAATTTTGCAAAGTCCTTTGATCTTCTTTAGATTCAAAACTTGATTATGTTGTTGAATCACATATATGATAAGGTCTTTGGCCGGAATCACGTCTTTTTTTTCTGAGTTAATAAGATAGACCTATCCTTAATATAGTCCACTTCTATTATGAAGAATGCATATGTTATATGGTCTTTGGTGGGGTTGTTATCTTTTTGACAAATTCCCGATTTCTATTCTCAATTTCATATCGTCAGGATATCATGGAAGTTCATACGAAATTGTTTGTTTGCGTCGTTTGCTCTTTTTATATTGTTTGCGTTATCAAAAAAAAATATCTTTGGGCCTATATATTTGTATCCATACTATTATTTTACACCAATACAAATAGTGTATACATGTTAAACCTATAAACCTATATATATCTATCTTTAATATATAGTTTGATATGTCACAGCTTTGTACTTTTTTTTAAATAAATGATGGCTAACGTGTATTCGGCTTTCTGTATTTAGAAGAAACATAATGTATTTGTTGAGTTTGAACAACTTTATCTTGCGTACATACATATGTATTTGATTCAGGACATGGACACCCTCATCCAGTTTTCTTGTTCGAAATTCAAAGTTTGTTATACGTTTGTCCTTGTTTTTAGGCTGTTTAGCATTTGTATTAAGTTTATACATTATTATACAATGCATATTTGTCTCGGGTCTCATTGAGCAGACAGTTATTGTCAGAATGCGTACACAATGCAGTGTAATTTGCACTGGTTGTGCTATTTAACGTTAAGGTGACGTTGTATGTTCGCCAAGAAGATAACTATATAAAATAGTCCAAATGACCGTGGATTCATCAACTAGCTTTTACAGTGAAGATATGACATAGATCGACCTTAATTAGTTGCAAAAACATTCAATATAGTCAGCCAGAAAAGGCAACATAGTGCACCAACCTTTTCTTCACAACTCAACCGAACAAACCAGCGAACTGATTTAGAACAAAACAGTAAGACAGAACACATAGTGCAGGAAACAACCAACGACTCCCGACGAAGTATAGGCTCTTGAGTATTGCATGGGTTAAAATGTTTTATATTGCGTATCAAATTATAAACCTGGTACCTTTTGATAGCTATTATTCGTGGGTTTCTCTGTCCTATATGTTCTCCCATTTATTTGTATTATAGTCCTGTCATGTAATGTTGTCATTGTAATGTTATATTAAACATTGCCATAAAAGCGGGAGGTTTGGCTAGCCACAAAACTAGGTTCAACCCACAATTTTTTTCTTAAAATGTCCTGTACCAAATCAGGAACTTGGCCATTGTTATATTATAGTTAGTTTCTGTGTGTGTTACATTTTAGTGTTGTGTTTCTTTTGTGTCGTATTTTTCCACTTATAGTTGCTGTGTTTTCCTCAGTTTTAGTTTGAAACCCGGATTTGCTTTCTTTTTCTCAATCGATTTATGAATTTCGAACAGCGGTATACTACTGTAGCCTTAACTTAAGATTCAACTTTCCTCTAACTTTTGACAGAGGGTAATAACCACATACAATCTGGACAAGGAAAATGAGGGTAGGTTTAGAAAAGCACCTCAAGACTAAATATATTATTTAAACTTCTCAATTGTCAACTTTCCATGCCTATCAAATGTGGTGAGAGCCCCATATGGAATTTACTGACCCCGTATATGTCGTATTAGGTCACTATCACACTATGTAACTAAAATTATGTCTCTTGTTGCAATAATTATGAGTTGGATATCATTGGCTTCTAGAACATATATTTCATACATCTTCAGTATATTTTTTTATTACAATCAAAATGCATGGACGTCTTATTCCACTAGTAGCACGATTTCAGTCTGAAACGGTCATTTTGGTCTGATCATATCTTAATCGACTGGATTTACCGCTAGAAAAAAACGTCAAGACTTTTAAGAACTTTCCAGACGCCGTTCCGATCGATAGTCGCATCAGGTAAATCAGTCCGTTAAGGCATGTCAAGATAAACAACACTGAATCTTCTAGCGAGCTGTTAAGATCCGTTACGACTGATTCAGTCGAAATCAGACCAAATCTCAAAATTAACGTTCAAAATTGTCAGACCATGTTAACATCCGTTCAGTATGTTGGTATGATACTACGAGTTACGCCCCTTCTGCTTGATAATGCATTTTAGATTAATATATATATGTATTAGAATTTAAAATGTATCTCTCGAATAAATAAAAAAAAATAATTAAAGATTAAATTCTCTGTTGATTCTTTATTTCTGTTGTTGTTTTGTTGAGGAACTAAAGTAATAAATTATTCGTCTATATATGTTGCTTATTTTTTTAATAAATGTTAGTTTAGTTTATTTATTTATATACTTATCAAATGCAAGGACGTATGTTATTTGTATACTCACATAAATGTTTGCTATACATTTAACCTTAAAATGTTGTGAACCCGGTGCGAAAATGTTTTTCGTATTTGAAAATCAGTAACGGCAAATCTTAAACGTAACCTAAAAAAACAAGGAGATGTGGTATAATTACCAATGAGACAATCCACTGAAATGAAGCGGAGGCAAATTAACACTGGCGTATTATTTTTATGTCAGATGCTTTAATTCAATTTCTGTTGATATGTGCTAGTTTACCATTACCGTTGTTGCTGATTTTATTTTTATTTCCGTGCGAGTTACTCTATTAAACTTTGAAAAGCTTCTATTACCATATCTTTGTAGTACAATATATTATCAAGGAATTGTATATTTAAATATACAATTCCTTGATATTATTAAACAATGATTTACTTTACACAGTGGTGCGTCTAAACACCACCAAGGTCGCCATAATACATGAAGCTCCTGATACTGCATTCAGTCTGTGTCGAGACAGTGTTATATATAACTATATATAAATAGCCGCCGTATAAAGATTTTGATTAAAAAAACGTATCCTAATAATTATTTTCCTACATATGTATATATAGTAGTTATGGCATACATTTGAAATTTTCCGTTTTAGTTATAATGATTGAGTTCAATGGCACGTGCTAGTAATCAACCGGGTCAACAGGTAACAAAATCAATGATCCATAACGTATGCAAGTACATGACTATTTTACAATATAAGGTATATTTTGGATGATATATTAGCACAAACTTGGTCAATTTGATTTCTCCAGTTAAGTGTGCTGTCAATTTTAGCACCTAATAATTTTTCACATGAAGAATTTTGTTATACTTTTGAATTTATTATCAAGTTTGAATGATAAGTCTGAATTGATAGTTTCTGCTTTGTTCCAGTAACCAAACATTTTGTTTTATTTGCATTAATGAACATGTTATTCCTTTTGCACCACTCTTCAACCCTGTATAAATCTTCTCGAACATCATCATGTATATTTTATATGTTTTTCATGTGGACGACCATTCATGCCAATTCCATAACATGATTAAAAGGAGATGTTGGGTATATTCCAAAGAGACAGCAGTCCCAAAACCAAGACAAGTAAAAAGGCATCAATGAATTTCGACTAACCATGCTAACAGGGCAAAATTTATGTAATAACTGACAAAGTTCACTTGAAAATATATAGTTTAGACCACACTAATTTGATTCATAGTTCTTTGGATTGAATGATAATATAAGACAAATCTGTGTGCCGTGTGCAGAGTGTCATCCCTCCACTATAACATGATAAAATATTTACAGATATTTTATTCATCATGTTCATTGTAATTATTCATTTTGAGAAAAGATGAAACCTCCACAACACTTGTTCAATATGAATCTTTATAGGTCGCGCCCAGGGGTACTGTACATGATGAAACAATTAACTCATTTTGTTTTATCAACTGTTTTTTAAATGGCAACTGTTATGACTCTGTGCATTGTTTCAGGAATATTAATTTAATAACATTGTTTTATTTTGATGATTAATATTATTATGAACCATCTAATAGATATTCACTTTCAATGCTTTATTATATTATAAAATCTATTCATGTTTCGTTGTCCATGACTCAGGAATTATTTGAAAAATATACTGAACATGCATTTTTGCTAAATAAGTCAATAAAATAAATAATTTTCACAACATTTTATATATAAATATTTGATTAGTAGTAAAATTCAACTTGAATTATCTCAAATTCTATTAAATAATTTTATAATAGTAATTATTGTACATCCGCATAGCCCACAACGGGCACAAGGTAATTAAGTAAAACAAGGGACATACTTATAAACCAGCGTTAGCAAAGTTATTATATGAATATGGACATGTAAAGATTGGTTGGTTGTTGGTAATAAAAAATCCAGTGACAAATTATTCATGCAAATCTAGGATGAGACAGTTATCAATACATTAACATTATCATACAATATGTATAGCCTATAGGTCCTGTAATAGGCCATCCTGCACAAACAAACCAATGCACCACATGTTAGGGTTTAACAGTATGACGATGAACAGACATAAGACATAAGACATAAAGCTTTATTTAGAGTCGGTATGTGCAAATACAAGTATAAAACATAAGCTCTGAAGAGCTTAAAAAAGCTTTTAAAAACATGGGTGGATCCAGCCGTTTTTTAAAAGGGGGGAGGGTCCCGACCCAGGATAAAGGGGGTTCAAACTATATGTCCCCTTTCAAATGCATCGATCCTCCAAAAAAGGGGGGTCCAATCCCAGGAACCCCTGGCCCCTGGATCCGCCACTGGATGAAGACCAAGAGTAACCTTTTTTCTATTCCTTTTAATTTGTCACCCTTGGGATATATTTGAAGTACATAAGTCGTAAGGGTTTAAATGACATAATTTCATAAACATGATAAAGGGGAGGGGAATGGTGTCATACATGAATTTCAACGATGCATAAACTTTTTACAATCCTACATCCTAACGTTGCATTGGAACATGCCACTATGCACGAGTGCGATGATATAGAACGTTGATTCATACCTGTAGGAACAAATGTGCACATTTTCCCTTCAAAATCTTGGATCCCTTATTATTCTCAAATTCTGATGGACATGCTTTAAAATATTGTTCATTTCTACTCACCGATTGCAATATTCAGAGCAGCTTATATTGTACTGTAAGTTTCCCTTCTACGATTTTGTGTAAAGGAAATATAGTTTGCCGACTTGCTTTTCCGCCGACAGAATGCAACACAAATAAAGTGGATACAGTAACGTTAAATCGTTTACGGGTGACGAATTGTTTTCAGTTTTTAATAAAACTTGACAGATTTGATTAATTATTAGCGGAAAATGTCCCTAATGGAAAGTAATTCAAATTAAACCAGTTTTATTATGCTGTATAATATTTGTGTAACTTAGTCATATTTATTAAATTTATTTCACATACACCGACAGAACATTTTCACTTCCGCATAATCATCATGATAATTTATCAAAATATATTTCAAATATAAATTTGAATTTTATGAAT